GGGAAAATAGTCCTATGGAGGCGGAGGCGACAAAACCACACTTTCCTCGTCTTCGACGACGAGATTGTCGTGAAATGACCCCTCGAAGAGGCAGAGGGTGAAGCATGTGGTGACGGTGAGTCTGGAAAGGGTGACGTCACCGCCATGGTCGGTAACAAGGGTGACACCAATTGTAATGGTGGATTCAAGAAGAAGAGGCCACGCTCCTTTCCTGAACATCCTGACATTGCTTCTGGCCGGTCATGGGTGAAGATGAAGCTAGCCTAGAATGAATGGCAGAAGCGAATGAACAATGGACAGTGCTTGAAATGCGGCACTGTGGGACACATCATTGCATGGTGTCCCCTCATCCGTAACCCAAAAGGGAGCAACCAGTAGGAGTAGTCCGAGTAGTATCTACTTTTGCTGAGTTGGTGGTTTTGGATAAAGGTAAGGCACCCATAACCACTTTAAACCTGTCAACATGCAAGGGTGAAGATGACTCTTCTTCGGCTTATCATCCAAAACACCCTGGAAAAATACCGTGTTCTGTTTCTTTGGGTGATCCCCTTGATGAACTTGGTTGTGATCTCATTGCTTTACAAAGTTTATGAGCTAACAAAGCGAAGTCCAAGGGTGAAATGAGATTGATGACGTAGAGATTGCACACATACGTGTTGGTGCCTTGCTAGACCTTGGGTCTACACAGTCCTATATCTCAGAAAAGGCATAAGTTGCATATGGGAATGAGAGTGCAGGACCTTCCGAGACTTATCACGTTTATGCTTGCTGATCAGAGCACAATAACTATCTCTTAGTTTGTAAATCGTGTGAAATGTTATTTCAAAACTAAGGAAGGAAAAAGGATATGGCATGAAGTAACCTTCCTCGTAGAAAAAATCTTGCCTTTCGATATGATTTTGGGAATGTATTGGCATGAGGGAGCCGATCCAGAATGCAAGTTCAAAGACAAGATTGTCAAATGAAGGATGAAAAATTTGAGATTGTCAAAACTAAGTTAATTAAACTGTTTCACAATTCTGATTCTGACTATTTACTATCTTTCTATTGTATGAGTTTACCTGCCTTTCGAAGTATGGCCCATTGGCCCCCGGCCATGCAAGGACCAGGGAAGGTCCCAGCAAAAAATATATTAAAAAAAAATCCAAAATATCCGAAAAAAAACTATGTTATGTAGAAACAAAAACTGAACAACGTTTGCCTCAGGGTGGCATCAAAATTCTTTATAAAAAAAAAGAAGTTCATTTTTAATTTTTAATCTTGTTTTGGCCCGGCGGGGCAAGTGGTGCCCGGGCCACTCTCGTAGCCTAGTACAAAAAGTTGAATCCAAAAATAGCAAATTATTATTATTATTATTATTATTATTATTATTATTATTTTATTATTATTATTATTTTATTATTATTATTATTATTTTATTATTATTATTTACGATTATGATTATTTTTTAAATAGCAAGTTGCATACAGTGGTATGTTGAATAGATTCCCCCCCCAAAAAAAGTTGAACAGTGGCGCGTGGATGATCGATAGATTCAATACCGTGGTTCCAGCTTTGCTTGATCGGACAGCCTCACTCAGCTCTATTGCGGCCGCACCTTCGTAGTCCCTCACTGGGCCCCATTCCCACCATGTAATAGATTGTTTCTTTTGGGCAAAAAAAGGAAAAAAAAATGTAGTAGAACCTTCCCGGGGTTTAAAAAAAGAAAAAGGAGTAGTCTATTCTCCCCGAGGGGGGGGGAAAAAAAAAAGAAAGGAAAAACACTGGTCAAGTGAGAAAGAGAGAGGTGAACAAAGGGGGACAAATAGAGAGGTCATGCGTTCTATTCAGAGTATGGTTGTCGTCAACTCATTTTTGTTTGTACACTTATAAATATACATATACAGAAATTCATGCAATGGTTGGAGGCCGCCGGAGGGGTCCTGGGAGCCCCTCCCTCATATAGTACACGGGATCACAGGGCCACAGGCCTATGTGATTCCCCCCCTCCTCCCTGGCCCTTTCTTTCCTTCCCTCTCCCCCCCCCCACCTTTTCGAAAAAAGTACCTGTTCATAATTTACAGCTATATACAGTCTTGAGGTCCGCCTCTATTGCACACCTCGCCGCCTTCTTCCCTCCC